TACAATTAAGTGTTCTGGAATACTCATACTTCACAGTGTTGTCCATAGCTTGTCATGATCCACACAATCAAAAGCCTTTGTGTAGTCAATAAAGCATAGGTAAACATCTTTCTGATATTCTCTGCTTTCAGCCAAGATCCATCAGAAATCAGCAATGATATCCCTCATTCCACAGCCTCTTCTGAATCTGGCTTGAACCTCTGGAAGTTCTCTGTCAATGTATGATTGTAGCCGTTTCTGTATTACCTTTAGCAAAACTTTACTTGCATGGGATATCAAAGGGATTGTCCTATGATTTCCGCATTCCGTTGGGTCACCTCTCATTGGAATGGGCACAGATATGGTTCTCTTCTAATCAGTCAGCCAGATAGTTGTCTTCCAAATTTCTTGGCAGAGATGACTGAGTGCCTCCTGTGTTGCCTCACCTCTTGAAAGATTTCAATTTTTATTCCATCAATTCCTGGTGCCTTGTTCTTTGCAAATTCCTTCAGTGCACCTTGGACTTTCTCCTTCAGTATCATTGGCTCTTGATCATATGCTACAGTAGAATAGAGGGATATTATAACAATGATTATGGCATGGTCCCAGTCCTCAAGGAGCTCACAGGCTAATGGGGTATCAAAGGCAAGAGGACACTTTTGATTATTATAACTTAAGTGAGTTACTATACTGAATGATGTGCCAAGCATTTTTCAGATTTTAACCTCTAACCATGTCTTTCTGATAGGTTTTGTTTTGTTTTGCTGGAAATAGTCTGTGGGAATTGAAAACACATACCTACTAAGTAAAGCGTTGTTGTTAGGTGCCATCGAGTCGGTACTGACTCATAGCGACCCTATGCACAACAGAATGAAACACTGCCCGACCTGGGCCAACCTCATAATTATTGCCACACTTGAGTCCATTCATTCTAAGTAGAGAATGGTGGTGGTGGTTATGTGCTGTGGAGTTGGTTCCGACTCATAGCGACCCTTTACAGGGTTTCTGAGGCTGTAAATCTTTATAGGAGCAGAAAGCCTCATCTTTCTCCCACGAAACAGCTGGTAGTTGTGAACTGCTGACCTTAAGGTTCATACTGTCTTTAAATTCAGGTCTGTCTGTCTCTCATATTTCTACAGTAATACCCAAGTTGGGGGAGTCCTAGTGTGGTGCTGTGGGTTAATGTTCCAGACTGCAAAGCTGTTTGAACTGCAAGGTCAATGATTCAAATTCACCAGCTGCTCCTCAAAAACCCTATACAGGGTCGTTATTGGTCGGACTTGACTTGACAGAAGTTAACAACAATATTAACCAAGTTTGGAGTCCTGGTGTGACGCTGTGGGTTAATGTGCTGGACTGTAAAGTCAGTTTGAACCTCAAATTTGGCAGTTCAAGCTTACCAGCCACTCCTAGGAAACCCTGTACAGGGTCACTGTGGGCTGGAACCGACTTGATGGCATTTAACAACAACAACCAAGTTTGGATATATGTTTGTGTTTACCTTATCTCTTTGTGTTTCAATGCCAAGGTTTTCTGATGGCCTTAGGAAAGAATTAGAGGAGATAGAAAAGATTTACTTGGCTTAGCCTGATGGGTAGCCCAAGCAGTAAATATTAGTAGTTATCACACTCAGATGTTTAGATTTTAATCAATCACATGAGCTTTTGTATTAAAAAATACCTGCCAAGGTTGAATTCTTCTTGAGTGGCAGAAACAGTGCCTACTACAGGCAGTCCTGGTGTGGCTCTATGTGTTAATGTGCCAGACCGCAAAACCATTTGAATTGCAAAGTGGGCGGTTCAAGTTCACCAGCTGCTCCTTAGAAATCTTATACAGAGTTGCTATGGGTTGTAATGGACTGACAGCACTTAACAACAACAACACAGGGCAGTTAGTAGGGCAAAAAGACTGAGTGAGTTCTCTCCTCTCAGTCATGGTAAGGCTTATGGACATAGAATGAGGTTCTGTTGACAGTGGGAGGTAGATAAAGTGACCCTCCGAAATGGGGTGGTTGTGTTCTCCCCTTACATCTCTGGATGAGTGACATGGGACTCGCCTTCACCACCAGGGCTTTAGAAGCAGAACCCTGGGAGCTGTTCTGTAAGTGCTGAACCCACCACAGGCCTTGTGCATCAGTTTGAAGGTGATCTGCATGGAGGGAGTGGGTCAGATAGCCACCTGGCTTTTGGCTCTGTAACTACTTTGATTGGGTGTTCTAGGATCTCCCCCTACATGGAGGGAATTGGCAGATAATGTACTTGTTTAATTCCCTAGACTCATTTGTGGTACCCCCTTGGAGAAGTGTCACTGAATCCTGGGTACCTAGATCCTCAGGCTGAGGGTTCACCCTCTCCTCCCACTGGATTTAACTTGCTAACTTGGTTGTTGTTAAGTGCCTTTGAGTTGATTCTGACTCATAGCAATCCTGTTTAGGGTTTCCAAGTAGCTGTGGATAGATTTGAACTACTGACCTTCTGGTTCAAACCAACCCTTGAAGTTCAGTGCTTATCCTACAATGCCACACCACCTTTAAACAGTAAGATGGTAGAAGTAGGGTAGTCTAAGTTATTACCTCAGGTTGCCCTTACATATATGTGGCCATAGTATAAAAATGACTTTATTAGAATTTTCATATATGTTGGCCAAGAAATCAGACCCAGAGCTTGCCCTGATTGTTCTCATTCTAAAACAGAAGTTCAGAGAGGTCATATAAATGATCCTAAAGATTTGAACTTTCTCTTGCCTTCAGTTTCTAAAGCCTTGGCTTCTAAATCTGTTCAGAATAGTGTAGCCCCTGGCTTTGGGTCAAAGGATTCACAGTGGACCTTTCCCCTAGTGAAGGGGTCAGCAAAGACACAGAAAAGTAGCTCTGTAATTGAGTTGCGAGACAGTGGTGGATGGGATACTCTCCTGTCAATTACTAAAGGACTTTGTAACAATCTTCTTGCATTGCTGTTGCTCTATAGGGTGGAGGAGGGAACTTAACCAGAATCCTCTGGTGGAAAGTTTTACATATATATGTGCATATTCTGTTTGTCTTTCCTGTCAAGAGTGAATTAAAATAGAAGACAAGGGGGTGATGAACATGAGTATTTAAAGACAATTCTGTTTGCTTACTCCCTGTTGTTGATGCTAACTGCTGCCGAGTCAGGTCCCAATTGATGGCAGTTTCTAATTCATGGCGACCCCATGTGCAGTGGAATGAAACGTTGCCCAGTTCTGTGACATCCCGTTATCCACTGAAGATCTAATCATTGTGATCTTAGGGTTTTCAGTAGCTGATAGTTCAGAAGTAGATTGCTAGGTCTTTACTCTGAGGTGCATCTGGGTGGACATGAACCTTCAATCTTTCAATTAGCTATTTGTATTCTTCACGAACTTCATCATAGCAATATGTAAGCTTCCACTTATGGGAGGGGCTGCTTATGAGGTGCATAGCTGGGAATCAAACACCAGTCTCTCACATGGAATCTGCCATGAATCACCAATGTCCTTGTCTATCCTCTACTAAAACCCATTTTCTGATGATGGCAAACTCCTTGAAAGAGGATTTCATCTTAAAGGTCATTGGGCTATTCTTCACCACATCTGGCTGAGTGTCTTATTCAGTAGATATTTGTTGAATGAGTGAATGAAGCAGATGGCAGTGGAGAGATACAAAAAAATGCCCTAGATCAAAAGGACTGAGCACTGGAATGTGAGGAGGTTGGAGTCTTCTCAGTTGATGTGTGTTAATTGAGTGTGCTTAAATGTAAGCCTGGCCTTCTTTAGCAGTCATGCCATAGACTCTCTATCAATAAACATAAACACTGTTCTGCCCTTGACCTCAAGAGTTAAAATAATAAATAGCTTAATTGACCATCATGAATTCCATTTCAAATTTACAATAGATAAATATGGCCTTGAAAAGAATTACTCCCACAACAAGCCCAGGCATTTTATTCTGAGCCTTCCCAAGGTGCATGCATAGTAAAACAAATAAAATTGGTCTCTCACCTTCTCCCTCCCATTGATAGCACATTTGCTATTGAGTCCAGGCAAATGGCCATTTGCCAGGTTGGATGAGTAGTTAAGCCACACAGGCACAATATAATATTACAGCATTCTTTACGGTAATACCGTCCTTCTCCTCATGACATTTGAATATAGATTGCCAGTGTGCAGTGCCTTCTGACCTCATGCTCTGCTATTTGTGAGGTTTAGGAGTTCTTCAGACAAGGTGAAGTCCACATGCTCTCCATAGATTATTAGTATACTTGTAAGCCTAAACAAAATCACACCTATTGTCTCTAAGAACTTAATTTGCCACAGCGCTCTTCTTTCTATCCTTAATTATGTATAAATTTATAGGCTTGAGCCACCTGCTTGTTCAATGTTCATGTATAACTGTATCTCTTATGTGCCACTTAATGGACCAGGGCTCTTCCTTTACATCTTCCTGGCTTCAAACTCCACATTTAACTATCGGTACTCAGCTCAGATACTGAGTATTACAACATTTTTCTCCACTTCCTTGAAAAGCTGCAAACAACCTTTTAGCATTTTATCTGGACCAAATGGTAGTGGTTTTACACAAGAAACAAGAACTCTGTAAGTAAATCTATGTATTTATACATCTAACATGCATTATAAAAAGCAGCAATAAATCCAGCTTTTTACATAAAAGGAATTAGATTTTCCAGTTTACCTCTGTACTGGGAATAATAAACTGTGCAACAAATAGCTGATGGAATGATCCATTTGAAGTTTGTAAAAGCATCTTGGGAAGCTGGCTGGAGTAGTCTTTTTATTTTTTCAAAAAAGGATGCCTGTTAATTTTTTGATTCTGTCGGGTTCCTGAATGACTGTTTTAAAACGAGCCGAGAGACTGTTACCTGCCCGTTTCTGCATGGCTGAGCAAATTCACCCGTAAATCCAAGTTTCTCTTCATTTCCATCACTATACATCTCCAAATTACAGAGAATTCATTTCTGAGCTGGAGAGGTGCCAGAAGTTTCTCATCTAGCTGTCTGTGGGCTGCCTTTTTCTTTCCCCTCTTTGAGGCTTTCTGATGCCTAGAGTGAGCTCAACTCAAAGGTTTCCAGCCTCACACTCTCCTCACATTCCCCCACAGTCACATCGAGCTCTGTGATTCTGAGGAAGATCGTGTGCCAGCATCTGATTCACAGTCTCCTTTTACCTGCAGGTGCTCCTGAAACTTCAAAATGCGGCTGGTAATGTATTTGCTCTTCTAAACATGCCACTCTGGCATGCATTCTACGCAGCTGTTAATTATTATTTTTTAAAATCTGTCTTCTGAATAGTATGCATGATTTAAAAAAATGCCAAAAGAAGGTTGTAGAACAGTGTAGGTTTAATTATTGGTCTAGGTGTGTGTATGTGTGTATGTGTGTCCTTGTTAATGTGGGCATGTGTATATAAATATGTAATATTTAAGTACACATATGTCTGCACAGGCAGATTTCACTAAAGGGGTCTCATTGAAAGCAATACTTTTTATGTACATCTAGATTTTCTAATCAGATCTGTAAACATTTTGCACATCAGCAGGAAGTAGAAGAAAATACATTTGCATCCCTATACAAATGGCATGTTTTAAACACCTATTTAAAAAGGCCTCCTTTCTTTTTTAATAAAAGGTGAGTGTGTATGTGTTGGGGAGGTAGAGAAGGTGGATGGCTTTTGAAAATTTGGAGAGAAGAGTTATCTTTCTACCGCACGACTATCTCTACCCTGTGTTCCCTGCCTTCTTAAAACTCAGTAATCACTGTGGGGAAGAGATGTGGTTCTGCTTCTGAGTAACCCCAGGGGGATGTTGAGCTGCAGTGTTCAGCAGGCATTTTAGGTATTCTAAATACTCGTGCTTGAATAATAAGTAGATGGGGTAGATTTGCTATAGCCGACTCCTGCTATGTTTTCAGGCTTGTAGGAATCACATTCACACTCTATATTCAGAGTGTACATGTGCTTACCGAACTCCAGTAAAGCAGGAGAGAGTGTGAGTCATAAATTACATTATTTATTTGCCAGTGTAAGGCAATACATTCTAAACTTAAGAAATTAGTTAGAAATTAATAATACATTCAGCATCACTTATCTCATTGGGTGAGATTTAAATCCTCGGAACATGCTCATCTAGTTAGAGAAACAAATGATTTAAGGGTCAGGCTTAAATGCTACTTCAAGTCCTTAAGCTAGAAAGATGCTTTCAATACTTTATTTAAAAGACTTCTTTTCAAATATGTGTATGTATGTTTTATACTGTGCTAGAGAACTAACTATGGTGATAGCATGCTATGTTAAAGGGAAATGACTGATCTTGAGTGAACTTCACTGGTGTAATAGGAGCTTGCTTTCTTTTCTTCGTATTACAATCACTCTTCCTCATTGCATTATGTCCCTGCTTTTTGAGAGATCACTGATTACTAATTGTTGGGAAGGTAACAAAATAGTACAGCAAGTCAGATAATGTTCATGATGAAAAGTAGGTTGAACTGGTAGTTTTATAAGAAAGTTGAATAAAATAGATGTCACAATTGTGCTTTCTAAATGTAAAGTAAATATTGATATTTGAAAATAGAAGCATCATAAACGTTAGAAGACTTGTTTTTGTTATTGTTAAGGGAGGTCCGACTCATAGCAACCCTATATAAGATTTCCATGGAGCGACTGGTGAATTTGAACCACTGACCTTGCAGTTCAAACAGACCTTGCAATCCAGTGCATTATCCCAGAGTACCACATATTAGGGTAGTATTAATGACATCTTGTTGCAGTTCCTCACTATATTTAAATGAGGTAGCAAGTAGGTTAATTATTTTATATGAGCTATTAATGATTTTTGCTTCATGATGTTGATTTTAAAACAAATGATTTTGATTGGCTTAGAATTGGGAACAAGTCTAAGCTTTAGTAAAATAGTTTACTGAATTGTACCAACAAAAATGTATATTCTTGCAAGTCACTATGAAAACTGCTTCACTTTTTAGTGTTTAAGAGCTAATATTTTAATACTTTTAGACCTCCATGCTTATAGAGCATTGTGTATATTTCAATATGTATATGTATGCTGATTTTATCAACCGTGTACAATTCATAATTACTCAAAGTAGTATAGTAAAAATGCATTTCAATATGCAGCAGTGATTCCTTTAAAGGGCATATTATACTAGAAACCATTAAAAACCCATGTAGGCTATAAATGCTCTACTCATTTATTGCTCTGCATATAACTGATTTTTATTTTAACTACTATTCAATTCCAATATTATAACTAAACCTACAGTTGTAGCCTATTCAATTTTGGAATCTTGCCTTTGAATGTGAATATCTTGATGAGGGTATCAAATTGAATGTATAGGATGGCGGAAGAGTTAATACCACTTTTCATATGTATTGCAATATACATTTGTAAGAATACTAAGCTCTTTAATACCAGTTCTTGCATTCAACTACTTTAAAAAACACTTCCACATTACTTTTGAAGTTGACTATTTGTTTGAAGTCTGCTTTACAGTTGTTGTAAAAAGAGATTTTCTCTTTCTGAGCTTATTTGGCACTGTGTGGTAACAGGAAAAAGGTCAGTGCCATTTTGTTGGGACTATCATATGCACTAAATACTGAAAGGAAAGAATGCCATGCTTGCCATCTGTCTCTAATTATGATTTCCTAATGGCTTTTAGATGTATGATAGACCAGGCTATTATTTTATAAAACCGATTTTTATTACTCACGATATCTAAAATGATTGTAAAATAGTTCTCCCATACAATGTTGTTGTTAAGTGCTGCCATGTGGGTTCCAACTAATAGCGACCCTGTATAGGGTTTCTAAGGAGCAGCTAGTAAGTTTGAACAGCCGACCTTGCAGTTCAAACTGACCTTGCAGTCTAGTGCTTATCCGATTGCTCCACCAGGACTCCATACAATAGTTTCACCATTATACGACCAAGATGGTTTAAACAAACACTTCATTTCTTTAGGCCCCAATCTAGAAAGGGGATATAAAATACATGCTTTGTAAACTGACCATGCATTCATAGCTAAAAATATTCATTAAGTAAGGATTAATTGAGTGTGGGATTACCAGTCAACCTCCTACTTTGGGGGCAAAGGGTGAGTGGGGAAAGGGAGATCTTGATAAATATACAAGAGGTGTTGTTCCTGGTATTTTCTCATTAGTAATCGCTTAGGAGACCCAACCACCTACAGAGTGTATGGAGAATTACTTCTATGCAGTTTCAAAATAGTACAGTCCTTTAGAGATGAAAGATTACAGTTGAAGTAAGAGAGAGAGGGCATGCTAGTCAAGGAAGACTCTAGAGAAAGTGAGTTCTCAAACAAATTTTCTTTTTCAAAATTAATGACTTTAAAAACTTGAAAAAAGATGGGTTTTGTTATTGTTGCTCAGAATATATGCATCAAAACATACACCTATTCAACAATTTTTCCATGTACCACTTAGTGACAGTGATTACATTCTTCAAGTTGTATAACCACCCTTACCGTCCTTTTCTGAATTGTTCTTTCCCCATTGACATTAAGTCACTTATCCCTAAGATTTCTGTCTAATCTTTTCAGTTGTTGTTCTAAGGCAAAATGAAACATTTTTCTGTTTTATTATCATCTGACACTACTGCAAGCAGCATTTAAAAATCTATATGATAATAGTATTATTTATTGTTGTTGAGCATTTACTATGTGGTAGGCACTGGGTTAAGAATGCTTAATATATATATCTCATTTAATCCTCCTTTTCTATTAAGATCCCCATTCTACAGATGAAGAAACTGAGGTATTGAGAAAATATGTAACTTGTCTAAGGCTGCACAAGTTCAAAAGAGGCAGAGCTGGAGAGTGAACAATGACTCTGGAACCCAACCTTCTAATCAGTACTCTACAAAGCCAAGGCCTCTTTCAGTTTATCGTTCAATCTCTAGATCTGTTGTGTGGCCATTTGCTTACTGTGTTTAAATCGTCTGGGAAGCAGACGCTGAAATTAGTAGTGCAAGTGGTTTATTGGAGGATAAAGATAAAAGGGAGAGTGATCAAAACTGGGCAGGGAAGTCTTCAGTTAACAGTGCAGGTCTCACAGTCTCAGTCTACTCAATGGGAACTTCCAGAGCAAAGAGAGTCTATTTATTAAGTTTCACATTGAATAGATCTGGCCAGACCCTTGTACCCTACTGGCTGGAGGTTCTCAGAAGAACATGGCCTTAGATTCTGATGTTTCTGTAGCTGGTTGCTGTTAACTAACTGTACTCCTTGATGCTGAATAGCAAGTTCTTTCTTAAGTCAGGGAAATCTGAGCAGCTTACCTCCTAGGCTGCTAAAGTAGTACCACGGGAACTCAGGCTGAAGTGAGGGAGATGGCTAGGGTGCAGAATTTGAGGAAATACCCACTCTCAGGGTCATGCAAGTGAATGATGGGAAGCTGAGAGGAATACGTCCTTAAATTTTATACCCCAGGTACCTTGCTTGTATGACCCTGGTTTCTAGGACTTCAAATTCAAAGACTTAAAATTAGACTCAAAGTCTTTCCCCCAAACCTATTGGTCTTAATAAGTCCTTCTTATGTCTCTGCTTCCATCCAAGGCAGTTGCCCATCTATGTTAAATGCAGCTCTGTTGTTACCTTTCCTATGCTTAGTGCCCTGAATTGGTTCTTTATACCTGAGAGAATAAAGCTTCCTTCTACAAAATAAAAAGTCCCTTATGAAATAAATGTGAACAATCCAGATCTAAGGCTGGAGAAATTTCACTGTTATAGTTGAGGAATATTAGAGGTGTGGGCTAATGCACTGGGCTTCAAAGTTGGTTTGAACAGCAAGGTTGGCAGTTCAAGTTCACTAGCTGCTCCTTGGAAACCCTATGCAGGGTCACTATGGGTCAGAACTGACTTGATGGCACTTAAAAACAACAACATTTTTTTTAATAGAGAGAATTGCTGTTAAGTGCCATCTAATCGTTTCTGGTTCATGGTGACTCTGTATATAGTTTCCAAGGATCAGCTAGTGAGCTTAAACCACCAACTTTGCAGTCCAGCACATTAACCTGCAGCGCCACACTAGGACTTCTGTTTTTTCTAGGCTTAAAAGATGAGTAGGGGTTTTCTATATAGTTATATGGAAGAAACAAAAAGAGGTTAGAGGGCATGGACAGTTTGGCAGAATTTGTAGGATATGTAAGAGGTTAATGGGGAGATATGCCTGGAAA